AAAATGCTATACGCTAACGTGACTGAAGTGATGAGCCCTTTTGAAATCAGTTACGTAATTGTTGCATTAATCCAGGAACAAGATGTCCCATTTCCATCGTAGTTGTCGATTGTCTGACGTTCAGCGTTCAGGCTGATCTCAATCCCCATCTCATCTTAACCAAGTCAAAGTTTATTCGGAAGTTTTGATAGATCTCGCCCACAGTCTTCAAGCATCTCGGATCACCAACATTATGCGATCTTTAGTTACAACAGTAAATCGTTTGCGCAAGGAAGTCATGGCTACATCAAAACAGACAGAAAAAAGCGTGCTATTTTAAAAACCGACACAAAGTCACCACAAGAGAATTGTGGCTGTCTATCGCACACATTCGATCAGGTCAAAAAAAACTGTGAGCACTGTGATTGTGTAATGGTAACACAAGAGACTATGGTAGACTGTAATACATCATTTATTTCGGAAGACAAGTCTGGCATCAAAGTACAATTAGAACAATCCACACTAAACATGCACTAAAACACCTTTTATATAGGGTTAATAGGATTACATCGCGGATTTTAAAATTGGAGGAAAAACGCTATGATTGGTGTGCCATGTGAGAAGGTCACTATAGAATAAACATTTCGGCTTAAGGTAGCGGGACTATTATTTGCATACTTGTTTTCCTCTTCTAATTGGGACCAAACGACTACAAATAGACCCAGGAAAGTATATACTTTTGAAATCGCCAGACTTCAAGCTTTTCAAAGGTGTGTTTGTCATGCCCGTATCTGCATTCTAAGTTGCGTTACTTAATCAAAAGTGAAAAATTACTTTTTTTGTAAAGAAGAAGTGATAAGAAGTTTTGTTTTCACTTTTCCTAGTTGTTCAATAGTCTGGTAAATTGAATGTGTCTGGTCAGTTTTATTCAAGTAACGCGTTTTAAAAAGTAGTGTCCTGAATTTTAATTTCTGTTTTAGTCGCATTGATCCCAACTCAAACCACAACACATTAGTAAATAATCCATGAAATAGTTTGTCTGGACACATTCAAGTTCCTCTCATTGTCACCTTAAAGCTGTGGAAATTTGGTGTTAATCCGACGACAATAAGTATACGTTATTTTTTGTTAAAGACCTTGCATTTTGAAAAAACATAAACTCCTAGAAAACGTTGATGAAGTCACAGCAAAGATTTTCAAACTTATTTATCTGCACAAGCGATTTGTTTTCCCATCATGGTCTGTTTTAACATGTGTAGGGGCATCCAAATGTGTAAGGCTATTGGAAACCAAAA